CAGCCGCGGTCAACGCGCCGAAACGTTTCGCGCCGACACCAACGCAGGGCAGCCTGCGAACAACGTCTGGAACGACGACCCACAACCAACTGAGGCCACCACCTTATTATGCCCTCAAGGTGGCCAGCCTACGGGTTCGCAAGACTCCTGGGCTAGCTACCAGGGGCCGTTGGCAACGGCGGCCCTTGCCCAAGCCATTGCCCATGTTGGTTCTGCGGGGCAACCCGCCCGGTCTGAATTTGACTCTGGCACTGGCGCCGGCACCTCATCAGATGGGGGAGCAGGTGCCCTGGATTACTCTGACCTGCCTGTGCATCTCATTCAAGAGCAGCAGGCGCTGTGGTTATCCCATGGATGCCAGAGACACACTAGCCGTTGGAAACGATGTATTAAGAATCCAGTTCGCAATGTACGACGCGCGGCCCGACGGGCGGTTAGGTCAGAGGGCGCGGGCAGAGGTATGGGCAAAGGCAAATGGCGGCGACTACATGGGAGAGGTATGTCGGCATTCTTGTCATCCGTTACTGGGCCACATCACGAAGCAATGTTCCTGGGGATAGGTCGAGGCCTGAGGCGCGCCTCGGGCAAGGGCGCGGGACGTCGGGGTCAGCCGAAGGATGCCAGTGGACAAACTATGGCATTTCCGTCGAGAACGCCCCCGAGGCGATGGGGTAGGCAGGGGTCCGTCGATGCATCTGGCTCAGATCGATTCGGACCATCAGTATGTCGACGAGGGGGCGCTATTAGCCGAACCCGAAGACACCCCTACTGCCGCCGTTCGCCTCATGGCCGCCGGGTATCTGAGTGCCAGCGTGTCCCTCGATGGGTATTCCGATGAGCTCTCCGAGGAGATCTACGTTGGTCACGACAAGATCAACCAGGCGGACTGGTTGGGCATTTCCATCGAGGGGCAACCTGCGCGCATTGAGTTCGTCGAGGCGTTCCACGTGCCCGCCGATTCGGGCCGCGAGATGGCGGGGACACTTGCGGACTTCGATGCTACGATGCAAGCAACAGAAGGGGGCGCTCCAATTGCCGCTGCAGCCGCAGGTTATTAGTTGTCCTATGTTCGGAGAACCGTGCGACGACAATCCCTTGCGGGGTAACCCGCGCGATGCTGGCGGCCTTTCAGAGCGCGTCCAACGCGAACTCGGGCGCGACGAAGGTTCTCCGGCTTCGCGGTGCAACGCCGGTCCACAGGCCGCCCAGTCTGGAAGCGAGTGTATCGCAACGACGACGACGAGGACGAATGGGAAGCTGAGAGCTATCATCCACAACTTCATGGGCGGAGTCACTCGCCTAGGCATTCGCGCGCCCGTTCCAGCGGCGCACAGCGCCCGCGCGCGCCTGGCCAGGGGAATCCAAGAACTCCGCCCAGAAGGAAACGCTCGCGGGGAAGACCGCCTCAGGACGGGGACCAGCCAGATGAGCCCGAAGGCCAGGGCCCGCGGCGTCTCGTCAGTTACGAAGATCAGGGGCTTGCCCGCCAATATGTCTCAGCAGCAGACGCGCGGCATGGGCTCGGCCGAGTCTGGGGCGAGCGCGACATCCGCCGCTGACACTCACTCCATGATGTTGCCCGAGACGGTCGTGGAAAGATCGTCCGTGCCAACAGAGGCCATGGTGCTCAGTGGGCCCGCGCTCCTAAAAGATGGGACTCACAGAGGGCCATCATCAGTGATCAAGAAAGTACCGAGGCCAGGTCTGCGGCTGCGAGCATCTTGCGGACCGCAGACCGGGCTGCCCGACGAGGCGTTCACCAAGGGGCCCTAATTTTGAGAAGACACCGTGGGTCTGGTCTCATGGAGATGGTCTGGGTCGCAAGGTAGATCCCGCGCGCCATCGTCCTCGACGGTGTTTGACAAGAGAGGATTACCAGCCGCTCACCGAAGATGGGGCCGAACACGTTGAACAGAATTGGAAGAACCTCGATCAAGATCTTCGCCTCGTGCGATGCAGTCGAGGATATCATGAAATGATGGCTGAGGCATCGCCTGCGGGGCAGCCGCATCTTCCTCTCGCGAAGGTGCTAACAGTAGTTGGCCTGGCTGCTGCTGCTCCCGCTCATGATGCAGAGTGCGCCCGCGAGACTGTAAGCAGCAATCCAGCGGATGCAGGGTAGACACCTCCAGGGGGATGACAGCGGACATGCCCCTTGTCCCATGTATGACAGTCTCATGCAACTGCAGGGGGTGTGGCTGGGTATCCAGCGCAGTACTCCGAATAATCCATGTGGACAAAGTACGATTTGGACATGGGGCTTGGGGTTGATATCAAGAACATGACAGTTTACAATCCAAAATACTAGTTTCGGCAATTCCATTGCCGCATGATGCGGGGGGAGCTACGGCGTCTTCTGGCGCGGGGGCGTCCGCTGAGGAACCGCCCAAGGCCCCGAATCCCCCGAAGAGAAAGCAGCCTGGCGAGAAGGACCCAGACTTATCTTCATCGCCAAGCGCACCGAGGCCACCTGCTGCGGAGCCACCAAAACAACAGAAGAGGACCGGCAGAGGCCGACCCTGGAGGCAACAAATCGCGCAGAGCTGCGGGGGAACCTGCCTACGGACAGTGCTCCAGGGGGCCAGCAGTGGCCGCTGCAGCGTCGGCGTTCCATGGCAGCAGTGCGCCTACGCCGAAGGAACTTGCATTTCTGCGTGGGCCAACTCCTGGCAGGCTCCACAGGGGGGCTGGCTGGGTGCCATCATTTGGAGGGCGCATCAAGGGCGCGCTCTTCGCAGCGAGATGAAAGTGAGAAGGCGCTGCAGACTGCGTCCAAAGCGCCAGGGGCTGCTCCGAAGATCACTGCAAGGAAGAAGACACCTGGGAGTGCAAGCTCACCTGCAGCGCCGCGGCGCCAGCTGCGACAGTGACCCCATGCGGGGGCGCCCGCTGAACCATCGTCTGCGTCTGCAGGGCAACCTGCTGCCGCCCCTGAACTGGTCGAGGGGAGCAGGCGGTGCTGGGAGACCCTGGGCATCCCTAATCAGATGGGGGTCAACCCAGCGCAGAGGCCTCATGCCACCGGCGGCCCTGACCGATACAGGGCGGTGCAACACGACGCAATATGCACCGCCGTGTACGCTGATAGCGTTGCTCTTGTACGCCAGTGTGTCCGCAATTTTCTGCGGACACAGCCTGCCTTCAGCTGCAGCTCCGAGGCGGAATTTCTAGCGCAGGCACTGCGCCAGGAGCACGACCACTATTACTACTACCGCCACCTTCGCAACTACTACGACTAGAACTTCAAGTGGTACGACTGCGACGACGACGACTACTACTACTACTACTACTACTACTACTACTACTACCACGACTATTGCGACGACGTCTACGATTCTTAGTGCCATTAGGTCCACCACTAATATTATTCTAGCACTACGGTTAACTGTATGTTTACTATTACTACTACTACCGCTGGAAACTAACACCGTTATTTCTACGCTGCTACTACTAGTTTCGCGACTTCTACGACCACTACTACTGCTACGGCGACTATTACTACCATTACTACTACCACTTTTCTGATTTCTATCTCAGCAATACTACCACTACCACTACTGCTGCTGCTACTATTGCTCTTGCTGCTTCTACTGCTACGACTTCGATTGCGACTGTGATTACGACAAAGACTACGACTATTAGTGATACTACTTTTATCCTTATCGCGACGACTACTACATTTCAATTTCTATTACTACTACCGCCATTACCATTACTACTACTACTATTACCACGACTACGACTACTACTACTACTACTACTACTACCACTGTTACTACGACTACTACTACTACCACTACTACTATTACTACTTCTACCACTACTAATACTACTACTACTACTACTACTACTACTACTACTACTACTACGACTACGACTACGACTACGACTACGACTACCACTACTATTACTACTACTTCTTCTTCTTATATTATTACTACTGCTGTTGCTGCTACTACTACTACTTTTATCACTACTTCTTCTACTACTACTACTTCTACTAATACTAGTACTACTTCTACTACTACTACTATTACTACTACTACTACTACTACTACTACTACTACCACTACTACTACTACTACTACTACTACTACTACTACTACTACTACTACTACTACTACTACTACGACCACTACTATTACTAGTACTACTACTACTACTACTACTACTACTACTACTACGACTACGACTACGACTACGACTACGACTACGACTACTACCACCAATCGTATTCTTAATAGTACTATTACTAAACCTATTACGACTGCTATTGCTGCTGCTACTACTACTATCACTACTTCTACTACTACTACGACGACTACTACTACTACTACTACTACTACTACTACGACTACGACTACGACTACTACTACCACTTCTACTACTACCACTTCTACTACTACGACTACCACTACTACCACTACTACCACTACCACTACTACTACTACTACTACTACTACTACTACTACTACTACTACTACTACTACTACTACTACTACTACTACCCTTACTACTACTACTACTACTGCTACTACTACAGCTACTACAACTACTACTACTACTACTATTACTACTACTACTACTACTACTACTACTACTACTGCTACTACTGCTGTTGCTGCTGCTGCTGCTACTAATACTGAAACAAACATTCAACATTCATTGCATCGTACATAGGTCAACCGTCCATACATACAAGGGTTAAATATATTAGGAACGCCCCTGAACCCCGAACTCGATTATCCCCCCAGGATTGTTGTTTGGGGCAAATAGGTTATCCGCGGTGCCGGGTGTCTTTCCCAAATTTCTGGAGAAAGAGGGCATGTCATGGCCTGGGCCACGAACCCCTTGCATCATGACGTCCGTTCCTTTCATCACGCTCCCTGCCTTCCCTCGTCCGCGCACGCGCGTCCGGCCATAGTGCCACAGTGCGCTCGCACCCGTCTTCGTAGCCCTTCTTTGGCGTACCCTCCCCGGTCTTCCCGCGCTGCCTCTAGGAGGGGCCGGTCATGGCCGTCTCCGACGAGTTGTCCGCGGGCCAGGACCGCTCGCGCGCCCGCGTTGCCGCTGGCCTTATCCCGCGCCTGCCTCGTCGCATTCGGTGTCGTCGGCCGTCGTCGTCACCGACGGCGACGGCGACGGCGACGTCGACGTCGGCGACGACGACGGCGACGACGACGTCGACGTCGACGGTGACGGCGGCGGCGACGACGACGACGGCGTCACGACGGCGACGGCGACGACGACGACGACGACGAGCGGCGGCGTGGCGGCGTGCCACATCGACGGCGCGCGGCGGCGGCGGCCGATGGCGTTGGGGCAACGCTGTCCGCCGACGAGAGCGGCCGCGTTCTTCATCGATTCCCGTGGGCGCGGCCAGCGCGCTGGAGTTTTCGTTTGAAGTTCTCAAGTCTCCGGCGCTTTGGGGAACACGTCGCTGTTGGTTCTTGCCGTTTTCAGCCTGCGGTGGCCTTCCCCCGGGGGACCGTCGCAGACCGACTCGGGACCGCCGCAGGCATTCGGGGATCCCGCATGGCAGGGATTTTTACGTTGAGTGCCCCCAAACGCATGATTTTTTAAATCTTTGGTTCCCGACCAACCTGTGTTGTTGGGTCCTCGTTTTGAATCGACGGTCCCCGCGTCTCCTCCTCCTCCTCCTCCTCCCGCCTTTCCTCTTCTCACGCTTCGTGGCCCCATAGGGAGGTCCACCTCAGGCCCCAGTGGTGTGTACCGCATGCGTCTCCCCCGCCCAGTACAGCGTTTCGTGGCCCCATAGGGAGGACCACCTAAGGCCCCAGTGGTGTGTACCACATGCGTTTCCCTCACCCAATACAGCGCTTCGTGGCCCCATAAGGAGGTCCACCTAAGGCCCCAGTGGTGTGTACCGCATGCGTCTCCCCCACCCAGTACACCGTATCGTGGCCCCATAAGGAGGTCCACATAAAACCCCAGTGGTGTGTACCGCATGCGTCTCCCCCGCCCAGTACAGCGCTTCGTGGCCCCATAGGGAGGACCACCGAAGGTCCCCAGTGGTGTGTACCACATGCGTTTCCCTCACCCAATACAGCGCTTCGTGGCCCCATAGGGGCTCCGCCGAAGGTCCCCGTGGCGCAGTCCGCATGCGTCTCCCCCACCCAGTACAGCGTTTCGTGGCCCCATATGGAGCCGCATCGAGGGCCCCCGTGGCGCAGTCCACGTGCGTCTCTCTCACCCAGTACAGCGTTTCGTGGCCCCATATGGAACCCCACCGAACGCCCCCGTGGCGCAATCCGCATGCGTCTCCCCCATCCAGTACGGCGCTTCGTGACCCCATATGGGGTTCCGCCGAAAATCCCCGTGGCGCAGTCCGCATGCGTGTCCCCCACCCAGTACACATTTTCGTGGCCCCATAGGGGCTCCGCCGAAGGTCCCCGTGGAGCAGTCCGCATGCGTCTCCCCCACCCAGTACAGCGTGTCGTGGCCCCATATGGAGCCCCACCGAAGGTCGCCGTGGCACAGTCTGCATGCGTCTCCCTCACCCAGTACAGCGCTTCGTGGCCCCATGTGGAACCCCACCGAAGGTCCCCGTGGCGCAGTCCGCACGCGTTTTTTTCTCACCCAGTACCGCGTTGCGTGGCCCCATATGGAGCCCCACCGAAGGTCCCCGTGGCGCAGTCCGCATGCGTCTCCCCCACCCAGTACAGCGTTTCGTGGCCCCATATAGAACCCCACCGAAGGCTCCCGTGGCGCAGTCCGCATGCGTCTCCCCCACCCAGTACAGCGTTTCGTGGCCCAATAGGGGTTCCGCCGAAGGTCCCCGCGGCGCAGTCCGCATGCGTCTCCCCCACCCAGTACAGCGTTTCGTGGCCCATTAAGGGGCTCCGCCGAAGGTCCTCGTGGCGCAGTCCACATGCGGATCCCTCGCCCAGTACAGCGTGTCGTGGCCCCATAGGGAACCCCACCGAAGGTCCCCGTGGCGCAGTCCGCATGCGTCTCCCCCACCCAGTACACTTTCCTCGGAGGCCGTCGGAGTTCCGCGCCTCGTTCGCCCGGACGACCCGCGCGCGTCGCTTGGACCCCTCCGGGGCTACTTGCGCGCGTCGCGGGGACTCCGCGCTGCGCTGCGCCCGCAGCCTTGGACTTTTGAGTGCGCGGGCAAAAAGGGAGTAACAAAAAGGGAGGAAGCGAATCTTCGCTGGGGGGCGCGCCGACATTGGCGTCGCGGCGCGCGGGCGATGCCGTCGGGGAGTCCCGGGGAAGGTCTTTGCGGCGGCCACGCCCAGCGTCACGAGTACTCAGAGGCAGTCATTCTCCAACTATTGACATTCATATACACTTTCACAATGCTTTGTCATACTCGCATGCATGCGCGCAGACTCGTTCGCACGCAGACTCATTCACACTCAGACGCACTCTCGCTCATATTCACCCGCGCTCTCAGTCTCCCCACGTACTCATATCAATCGTTTTCGTTCGCGTTGTGTACCACGCCATTCATTTCGGCACACCCTTCGCACGGTTCGTTGTCTCATAGGGATCACCACCGAAAAAGTGAATCACAATTGCGGTACTCACACCTGCATTTGGTTGGGTCTTTCGTCAGGCTAATTTTTGGCTTGGTTGGACGGCCTTCGTCGCGACGGCTCCATGGGTCCGCTTCGAGACCCTGGTCAAAACGCGCGGCAGGAGAGGCCCGGGGGTCGACCCGTCATCGTCGTTGTCGCCGCCGTCGCAGTCGTCTTTTCTGTCGATGCCAACGCTCTGAGGATGGTGGCCTGAGTCGTGGTGGTTTTTGCCTTGAGCTTCCCTGGCTCAAGGAAGCGGGGTCCCAGGAGGGTCTCTGAGAGCCGAGGTGGACCCGTGAGGCCCCAGGAGGCCTTTGGGGCCCGGTCGGTTGCAGAGTCGTCGATCTCCTAAGGGTCTGCGAAAGAGCACGAGTCCTCATGATACGAACCGCGAAGTTTAAGGTACGTTGTAGGCGACCGAGAGCACAGATCTCCAAGGCGGTGACTGTTGCCAATCCGTGGGCCACGTCCTGTGGCTGGTTTTGCGTCCCCGGCCGTGCTGTTGCCGCTCCTCGGGGCCCAGGAGCGGGCCACGCCTCCCGAGTCGGGCAACGGCTTGCTCCTCCTCCTCCTCCTCCTCCTCTTCCTCCTCCTTCGCCTCCTCCTCCGCCTCCCCCTTCCCCGTCCCCCTCCTCCTCCTCCTCCTCATCATCTTCCTGGGCCCAGGAGATCCCCCTGGGTCCCAAGGAGGAGATGGACCACAGCAGAAGGCGGCAGCCCCCGACAGCTGCGTGAAGTGGGCGCAGTCCGTGCCTTCCCGGCAACACCTCGTCTCGTCCCGATCCGTCTGTGGACGGCTGCGACTGCTCCACGGCGCGAAGCGGGCTCGGCCGTGCCGATGAGAAGCCCAGCGTCAGTATCGTTCAACCGACCCCCATCCCCATCCAGTTCGAGACCCCCACCAAATTCTAGACGCTTCGCGTATCCCCACCATCTGTCTGGTGGACTTGTGGGTGTTGAGATCGCCACGGAGTGGTTCAGCCCTTCGCAGCAGCAGCAGCAGCAGCAGCACCCCAGGCTCATCCCCCCGCTCCCGGCAGGTTGCGTCGTTCCACGGTCCTCGGTAGCTCAGCTCCCCTAGCCAGCACACGTCGTTGGGACGGTTGGAGCCTGGCGCCCCACTGGCGACTCGCTCCTCGGGCCTCGCGCCTGCCCCCATTCAGAATGACGGACACGGTTGCTCCGGTACACGTCATGTCACTGTGTGGGTCATGCTTCACGGCAGGCATCGAATTCCTCGACATTTTGTCCACTGTACGTGCCCGAGCTTCCCAGGATGCCCCCTGCCGTCAGCTCCCCCGCAGCCCCCACGGCTGCTTTGTGAGTGGGCCGGCCGGCTAGCGGCGCCTCTTGTAGCTAATTAGGCTTGCCCGTTGGCCCGGACACCCTGCTCGCCGCCTGCCTCTTCGCTCGCGGCCGCGACCAAAAAAAATATCCCCACCATCCCGTCCAGAAATGGGTCCCAGGGGAGTGGAGGTGATGAGGGAAGCAGTGGAGCATGCAGAAGAACAAAGGGCGGGGTAAGCCGCCATATACTCCAAGAGGGGGAGGATGTAGGAGGAGTCGTCGTCGTCGGAGTAGGAGGAGGAAGAGGAGGAGCAGGAGGAGGAGCAGGAGGAGGAGGGGGAGGAGCAGGAGGAAGATGAGGATGAGGAGGAGGAGGAGGAGGAGGAGGAGGAGGAGGAGGAGGAGGAGGAGGAGGAAAAAAAAAAGGAGGAGGAGGAGGAGGAGGAGGAGGAGGACACAATGGCGAGCTCGGGTGCCTCTTGGGCCGTCTTTGGGGCCTCTTGGCGGTCCCAGGGGCCTCTTGCGTATCTCGGGGAGCCTCTTTGGGCCTCTTGGGGGTCTCTTGGGAGCCTCTTGGAGGCTTCTTGGGCGCCTCTTGGGGCCTCTTGGGGCCCTCTTGGGGCGCTCTTCGGGCGCTCTTGGGAGTCTTCGGGGCGCTCTTGGGGCCATGTTGGAGGAGATCAAAGAAGGGGTGGTCGTTAATTCGCCCTGCCCCTCTAGAGTGCCTCGAATCGCCTCTTGGGCCCCCGAAGAGGCCAACATCCTTCTAAAACCTTCGGAAATCAATTATTTGTTTTGCTTTCTCGCCTTTTCGCTCTTGGAGCAGTCTTGGGCCATCTTGGACGCCCCAACGACCCGCGGAACCCTCCGTCCAGGTCCACGGGACGGGGTAGGGGGGGAGGTCAAGACCCCCTCCCCGCCCGCAAGCCGTCTCGCTCACTCCCACCCGCCCTCCCAACACATACGTAGCACTTGAGTCTGGCCCGAGCCTCAGCATATTCAGCAGTCGTCTTTGGATGGGCAGCTACTGGGGGCCAATTCGCCGCCGCCGCCGCCGCCGCCGCCGCCGCCGCCGCCGCCGCCCCCCGCTGCCAAACCGCCGCCGCAGCCGCAGCCGCAGCCGCTGCCGCCACCGCCGCCGCCGCCGCCGCCGTCGCAGCCGCCGGCGTCGCCGCCGCCCCCGCCGCCGCCGCCGCCGCGGCCGCCGCCGCAGCCGCCGCCGCCAAGTGTACTCTGTATGGTTTTTTGACAGGGATGGTGTGGGGGGGCCGCATCGGGTTGGCTGCGCATGTTCCGAATTTGGAGGCAGAGTGTGTTTTGTATTGTTTGTTGCAAGGTATGGGGGGGGGGTGTTGGCATGGACTCGGGTTGGCCCCCAGTCGCCTGGGGGAGGGGGTGTTTATTAATAGGGAACAGTGATAAACCCTTTTCCGAAGGGGAAGAAGGGGCTTGGAAGAGGAAACTCTCTAGACCATCGACGCCCAGAGGGCTGGTGGGTTTACCCCCCCAGTTCGGGATACACCTCTCGAAACCCGAAGGGAACGGACTATATCCCCATGTGCGGGGTCAAATCGGCCAGTGGGGCCCAGGCCACGCCGCTGGGGATGGGGATCGGTCACGCGATACTCAAAAGCGGAGCCCACCCACCCATAAAGAACCGATACAGCACATGGATGCGCGGCCGTTTGGTGTGCCCGTTTTTCCGGCCGTGCCTCCAGCGCGCCCCGCGCGCCCCGCCCGCAGGAGGTTCGCGTGCGCGTGCTGGGCGCGGACGAAAGCAGCGGCAGATTGAGCCTCTCCATGAAGGAGGCGGCCTCGCGCGCCGTCGCGTCGTCGTCGTCGGCGGCCTCGTCGTCAGCCTGTCCGCCGTTGTCGTCGACGTCCTCGTAGTCGACGACTTCGTCGTCATCGTCGACGTCGTCGCCGTCGCCGTCGCCGTCGCCGCCATCGTCGCCGACGTCGCCGCAGCCGCCACCGTTGTCACTGCCACCGCGGCCGTCGTCGTCGACACGGTCGCAGCGGTCATCGTCATCATCGTCGTCGTCTTCGTCGTCATCGGCGCCGTCGCCGTCGCCGTCCTGGACAGCGTTCTCGCCGTCGCTTACGCTCAGCCTCCCCGTCGCCGATGTCTTCGTAGTCGTCGCTGTCGTCGTCGTCCTAGGCGTCATCGTCGTTGTCGTCCTCAACGTTCTCAACGTTGTCGCCGAGGTCGTCGTCGTGGTCGTCGTCGTCGTCTTCGCAGCCGCCGTCGTCGGGGTCTGAGTCGATGGCATTGTCGCCTTTTGAGGAGAAGGAGGAGGAGGAGGAGGAGGAGGAGAAGGAGGAGGAGTAGGAGGAGGAGGAGGGAGGAAGGGGGATGAGGAGGAGGGGGTATGGAGGGAGGGTCATGCCGACAGGAGGGGGCAGGGGGAGAGGAGATGGAGGGGGATCAGGACGAGTGGGGGAGGAGGAAAGAGGAGGAGGGGGACCAGAGTGAACCCAAAATGGATCAACGATGCTTGAATAGCCGAGGCAGCGCAAACATGCAGTATGGGCGCGTGGATGAGTGGTGGGCTCCGTTCCCGTAAAAAGAGTCGGCGAGCGCCGTTGTTGATTCGGGCGGAATTGGATTCATATTTTCTGGACTACTTTCCCCGAATTGTGGATCTGGCACCCGGCGTCAGGTCTACGTACCCCTTGTCCTTGTTAGCTCAGAAGGGTCAACAACACACAGGCGCAAGTACTCGTCAATAAGAATATATGAATTAAACATCTGGCAAGTGGAGGGCAATGCGACCGTCTAGAAAATAATTAGGGAAAGGGATTGGGAGTCCCGGGATTTGTATTTCTATTTGTGTGTCCGTGGGCCCCATCGATCACGCCACCTCAATACCAATTTTGATTGTACGGTAGGTTATGCGGCGTTGGCGCGCCGGCGACTCTGGCGAAGGCGTTCAAGGAATTCTGCGACGCGGAAGCACCGAGGAACGCGGCAACGCCGTTGGACCCGACGGAATTCGACCGAGAACGATCGGGTTCGCGATCGATTCAAGGGTGACGCGGTGTCACAAACCGTTGCGCGCGCCGACGCCGCACGAGTCTACAGCCAGACCGAGGTATAAGACCGAGGCATAAGATCGAGGCCGGTTCTGGGAGGGTGCCCTCGTGTTCTTCGTGCTCGTTGGATGCGCTTGTGCACCCTGGGCAGGGTGCCCTTGGATACTCTGTCTGCTGTGGCCGACGCAGGGCCTCATGCTCTTGAAGGATGCTCTTCTGGCCCAGGTCCGGCTGCAGGTCGAGCCCCCGCTTGTCCCCCTCGCTCGGCCCCGAGCCGCCGACAAAACCGACCTGAAGGCGCCGAAGACCTACCAAGGGCGCTGAAGACTGAACACGCGCGCCGAAAACCGAGCTCGGGCCGAACGAAAGGGGGGGATGGGGACAGGGGGGGGTACGACATCTGCTGCATGCAGCTGGTTTCCTCCCGGCGCCGGTAGGCGCCGGGAAAATCAGCTACGTGAACTGATTCTCAATGTCAAACCTTTCCTTTGCTACCCCCCCTTTCGCCCGGCCCGAAAGGCGCCGAAAACCAACCAGGGGCGCCGAAAACCGGCCAGGGGCGCCGAAAACCAATCACGGGCGCCGAAAACCAGCCAATGGGCGCCGACCCCGCATGTTCTTGAACGATGTTCTTCTGGCCTAGGTCTGACTGTACCGTACGCGCCGGTCGTTGAGAGTAGGTATTTCTGAACTCCCAGATCCCAATCTACTTCAAGCGCCTTCTTTCTTCAAGAATCGATATGCTTCTGCTGTGTTTTGTTGCTTTCTGGGAGGGCCTGAACCCAACCTTAGGGGAACGAAATGACATAAACATGAAAAACTCGGAGGTCCCAACTGGTGTTTTTCTACATACCTCCCCTCCCCCCCCCAATTTCAACGTTCGATGCGGTGCCGTTTTTTTCGAACTCCGCCGGTCGCGCGATCAACACTGAAATGGGGGGCCGGGGGGCTCACCAAACACCAGTTGCTTTTCGCACGGGGTTGTACGCTCGGCACGAACGAAATGGGTACGGAAAGAATGGGTACACTGCCCAACAGCAGTTCCTGCTCATTTTGAACAGGACTCGCTGTCCACGTCGCCGCGGCCTGTGTCCATTCGAGACAGAGGGCCGCCTGCCCAACAGCGGCCGCTCTTGGTTTGGGACAGCCTTTGTTGTTGGGCATCGCACCCATCTTTTCCGTGCGACCTTCGGGCGTCCAGGGACCCCACTCAGAGGAAGACAATGGCCATGGGCTGACGAACGATCAACACGCACCCATACCCATAGGGGGGGCGGAATGAGCTATGGGTGCGTGTTGTCGGATGGGGGTCCCCGCTCGAACGGGAGCCTTCCCAGGGGTCCGACAACCCGCACCCATACCCATAGCCAGTCCTTCTCCCTCCGACCTCCCTATGGGTATGGGTGTGTGTTGTTCGTTCGTCATGGGCCCTCTGTCTCCTCTGTGGGCCTCCTCCTCCTCCTCCTCCTCCTCCTCCTCCTCCCCTCCTCCTCCTCCTCCTCCTCCTCCTCCTCCTCCTCCTTCTCGCTGCGCTGCCCCTCTCTCGCTTTCGCCCTCTGTGGGCCTCCCGGGAGGCCCTCGCCGCCACGGCCGGAGGCGCCCCGAGAGCCTGGCGCCAGCACGCCTCCCGGGAGAGGTCCCGGGGAGGAGGTCGGACCTTCGCGGGCGGCACGGGCACTGTTCAGGAGGGAAAGAAGCACACAGACACAATGAATCGTCGATTCCCAGGAAGATATGGGAAACTATGGGAAGTGGGGGGGAAGACAAAGAGCCAGAACATATGGGAAAATATGGGGAATTCTTTCATTTGTGTGTATTTGTTTGTGTGTCCCGGGGCCCCTTCAATTGTGCCCGTGCTTTCCGTGCCCGTCTCGGGCGTCCGAGCACGCCGCCTCCGCTAGGGGGCCGCAGGCGAAACCCTGCCCCTGCCCCCCACGAGTTCTGAGGGGGAGGGGCGGGGTTTATACTTCGTTCGGGAGCTCCCGAGCGCAGTGCACCCCCACCCCTCCCCCTCGGAACTCGTGGGGGGCAGGGGTAGGGTTCGCCTGTGGCCCCCTGTCCGCGGCACAGAGTCGTGGGCACAGATTGCATTTCACTGGGAGCCAGAGAACCGCGTCCGGCGGCGTGGGGGGCAGTGCAACCGCTGGCTGGAATGCACCGTCGAGTACCAGAGCTGAGGGCGCTGAGGCGCCACCGCGCCACCCGTCTCGGGACGGCCTCCGGGCCGATGGAGCGCGTCGTTCGTTCGTTCGTTCGTTCCCCTGTCCGCGGAAGGCCCCCGGCAGAGGCCGCTCCCCCCCCGGGTCTGCTTCGTTCGGGAGCTCCCGAGCGCAGTGAACCCCCACCCTCCCCCTCAGAACTCGTGGGGGCTACTGACCAGCGCCTCCAGCGTCTCCAAGATGGACGCACGGTGAGGCCGTCAGAGCCTGTCGTTGATGCACGGCCGCTGGATGACCACCTGGATGTCCCCGAAGCGGCCAAGCAACTCGTACTCCTTGTAGGTCGCAAGCTGCCGCGCGGCCTGCACCTGCTCCGACTTGAGGAAGACCTGCGCGTTGGCCACGAGGACCTGCTGCCAGGGATCCGATGAAACGCTCTCGCCGAGTTTCTGGTTGACCTTGTTGACCTCCATCACGATGGTGCCCTCGCCAACGTCCATCTCGTGCGACTTCGCGGCCCCGCCGGCTCCAGAGAGGCTGAGGTTGCTCTCCGCGACCGACTCCGAGCCCTTGAACACCTCGTGGAGGGCAGGGTCCGTCTCCTTGAGGAGCTCACCGCCGAGCATGGGGAACCGCGGCACCTCGGGCAGCACCTCCTGGAACTTCCGAAAGGCATCCGCATCCCCATCAGGACCCAGCCCATCTGCATCATCATGCGCGTCACGTACACATCCAAATACAGGAGGCGGGTCCATGTCCTCGAGCCAGTCGTGCAGCTCGTCCGCCACGAACTCGCTCGAGTCCTCGATGCCGTCGTCCATATCCATGGCGTAGCACGACGGGCCACCGAGCATCTTCTCGTAAAAGCCGTCCTTGAAGTTCTTGCAGGCTTCCGGAAAGCCCTGGCCGCGGGGGGGCGGCTGTGACGACGCGGGGCCAAATCCCGCCGCCGCCCCCCCCGACCCCGCCTCGGCGGAGGGGTGGAACTCCACCTGGTACTCGTCCGCCACAAGGCCCTCGACCTGCAGCTGACCTCCAGCGGCGGCTCCGAGGGCGTCGGCGAGGGCCTGCGACTCCTGCGGCGCCGGCGGCTCCGCGAGACCCTGACCGAGCCCGATGAGTTCGCCCCCAGCCACTCCTCGGGCGCCGCCTCCGTCAGGCGCGCGCGGGGCCCCTCCGGAGCGGCCAGGCGCCTGCGCCTGGAGCGGCTGCGCCGCCGCGGGGGCGGCGTCGGGCCCCGCGGCGCAGGCTGCGCGGGCGACGGCGGCCCGGCCTCCACGGCGGGCGGCGGGGCCCTTCGCCCTCTGCCACCTGCGGAGGCCGAAGTGGCCTGGCGGCGGCGAGAGCGGGGCCGCCTTGCTGGTCGACGCCTCCACCGCCGCTTCGTCCTCGATGGCCAGCAGCGGCTGCGGCGCCTGGGTGGGCCGCGGGGGAGCCGCCGTCAGCTTGGGTGCGGGCGCCGCCTGCACTGGGCGCGCCTGCCCGGGCGTGACTGCAGTGACTGCCGCGGTCACCGCCGCCGCCACCACCCGCTCGCTGAACGCAGCCTGCCGGTCCTGGCTGGCCAAAGGCTGCGTCCTCCTCTTCCGAAGCCTCCATGGCGCAGAGGCCGCCGAAGGCCCGTCGCGCCATGACCTACACGATGCAACCACGCCGAGCTTGCCCACGAGGCCAAAGAGCTCGACGCTCACAGAGATTGGCTCGTGCCTGCGCTGCCCTTGCGAGTCACGCAGGCCCAAGCAGAGGAACAGGTAGTCCAGGTGCAGTACCACGAACACGGAGATGCCAAATCGCGGCGCGCGGCCGCCGCGCCCGGGGCAAGGGGAGCGCTCCTCTGCCGCAAGGGCTTAGCCGACGCCCAGGAGCCCAAAGCTTGAGCCAAAATGGCTACGGAGGAGGAGGAGGAGGAGGAGGAGGAGAAGGAGGAGGAGGAGGAGGAGGTAGGGGGCCACATGCGAACCCTGCCCCTGCCCTCCACATGGTTTCTGAGTGGGAGGGTGGGGCTCACTTCGTCCGGGACCTCCAGAGCGAAGTGAACCCCACCCTACCCCTCTGAAATTGTGGGGGGTAGGGGTAGGGTTCGCATTTGGTCCCCTAGGAGGAGGAGGAGGAGGAGGAGGAGGAGGAGGAGGAGGAGGAGGAGGAGGAGGAGGAGGAGGAGGAGGAGGACGGAAACGACGACGACGGCGAGAAAGGCGTACGGGTCGGGAGGCCGCGGCAGCGGGGAGGCAGTTTCGGTGATATCGGCGGCGAGCGAGCGGGGGAAGCGAGGAGGAGGCCTTCTCAGAAGGCGGCGGGGCCTTCTCGTAAGGCCTCTGGCCTTCTCCGGAGTTTTCTGTGCCTGGAAGGCTCATGCAGCCTCTCAGAAGGCCGGGGGACTTCCGAGCCTTCCGACGAGGCCCGCCTCTTCTCATCTCCCCCCCGCGCTCGCAGCCAACAGAGGGTCCCAAACCCACCAAACCACCCCAACTCAGGGGGGAAAAGGTGACCATCCCCCCTTCGCCCGTTTTCCCCTTTGCCAGCCTCCTAGGAGGCCCTCGTCGTCACCGCTGGATTCGCTTCGAAATCCTGGTCAGAACGCACCCTGGAAGAGGTCCAGCGGTAGCGGTATTGGTACCTTTTGCCCTCGATTCCCGGTATGTGGGGGGGGGCGTCGGGGAACATGGACAAGAGCACATTTGGAACCCGTACCCCCCCAGACCCAAAATTGGGGTTTTTGGGTTGGGTTGCGGTGGTCTGGTAGGTCGTCATAAAGGGGTGCGACAAAGTCAGGCCAGGTCAGACGCCGTGCATCTGTACGACGCGTTGGCAGCAGCAGATGGGGTCATTATTGAACCCATGGTCGGCGGACAGCGCACAGCAACAAAAACAGAGCGCCCCACGAATGTGAGGAAGGACAGCAGGGCACGAGCATGAGAAAACAGCACATGAGGGACAAGCACCGACAAGGTCGAAACAGAAGTCGAGGACGAAGCAAAACGGCACCAGCAGGAACTGTCGGAGGTCCGCGCAGAGTTCTCGGGTCGGCGCTGGGGCCCCCCTGGGGGTGCCTCAGGCGCCGCCCTTGGCGCGCTCTGCGCGCCAGGGAAGGGGTTCCAACGCAGATCCCAGACATCCGCGCGGACCTCCAACAGTTTATGGTTAGGAAGATGTCTCTTCCTATCGAAGGGATGCGACAAGCTGGGAGCGTAAAGGACTTTTTGTTGACATGTGGGGTTGGACATGCGTGAGGAGAGTGTAATTGACCCTTTCGTGGCCCTCGGAGCGCAGATCATTCGTATTTTCACGTGTCCCGATCGAGAGTGAAGCAGAAATGCGTGAGGGTGTCGTAGCCATGAAGGCGTTGCTCACTACCACCCCCTGGATTAAAAAGTCTGGATCGGCACTGCAGGCCCCCTTGTATCGTCGCTCCCCGAGAGGTAAACATGACTGGCAAGAAGTACCAAGCAGAATCGCAACTTCCAAGCAACATAACTGGGACCGTTTTTTTTGCGAGGAAGTCCCAAGCGAAATCGCCAATTTCTGGTCGCCACTGAGGATTTCCGGTCGCCTGGAAAGCGTCTGGAATTTTTGTTGGAGGAAGTATGAGGCGGAATGCGGATTTGCGGTCGTCACCCCATTTGGCGATTATAATATTAGAGGGGGTGAGGATGGACCAGAAATTTAACCATGGCGGCCCCTGCAACATTGTACCGGGGCCCCGCGGCCTAACGGGAGCCGAACATCAAGGCTTATTCCCCGACCTCTGCGGTCCGGACTTTTTATTCCAGGGGGTTGTAGTATTTCCACGCGTCGCAGAATCATGCCAGACAGGAAATGCGTGAGGCGTGCGCGGGAACGAGGCTTTCGCAGCCCCGAGGGCGCATCTCACTGGTGTTTTTACGTGTCCCAGGAGCTGACATGACACGCGCGCGGGCTTCGCACTGGGAGCACATTCCACTCGTATTTTACCTGCCCCGGGGAGGACTGATGAAATCGGCAGGCCGGCTTGGGGGAGGAGCACTGGATCACGCAGTGGCGAAGCGTCTTGGCGTGCCTATAGGCCTACCAAAGAGTGTTCTGATAACCTTTCGTGGTTTGCACGACATGTTCTTAGAACAGTTCTGGCTGGGACTGTCGTACTTCAGCACATAGGGTTGGAGTTCTAAGAGCATTGTTTTTGGTATTCGAGCATTTTTGGGTTCTGAGAACGTGTCGTGGTAGGCCTATAGGAATGCAGGGACGGTCGGTCTCTGCTCAAGTGGAAGGGCAGCTGCACGGCTCGCTCTCTCTCTCTCTCACACCAGCCTCGAACTTATCCCTATCCCTGAGATTGACACGCCAGAAGGCGATGACGCTCTCAGGGATGCGCCCTGAAAAACCACGGGGACCCCTGAGCTTGGCACTGCGATGAGGCGATGCCCAGCTCAGGGATAGGGATATGCTCTTGGCCGGTAGCTCTCTCTCTCTCTTTCTCTCTCGAGGAGCAAGCCCCCCCGTCGAAGCCCATGTCGGGCCACCCCGCCTCCGTGCCTCGTGGCTCGCTGCCCCCTTGCCACCGCGCCCCCGCCCGTCGCGGGCGTGCGGGGTGCCATCGCCGCTCCTCGTGACGTGGTGGAGGCCCGTGCCAAGAATCGGGCGATCGCAAACGTGGGCTGATCGACTGCACGTACCGTAGGAGTGACCCCTCGCCGGCGTGACCTCTGGTGCGGGCCCGTTGGGGTCCCCGATCGCCGAGCGCGCGGCGGCAGCGGCGTCTTGCGCGCCTGCGTGTGCCCCCCCCCCCCCCCCCCGCGGCCCCCCCAAGAAGTCGCGCACCAGAGGGCACTCTTACCCAGAGAGTCACTCTTACGCGTGGCCGAGTTAAGGGGGCATGGATGAGCGACGGGTCCCGCTTCCATGGGAAATGGCGGATTGCCGCCGCCGAGCGAGGAGGCGCCGTCCGCATTTTAGGGAGGGCGCCTCCCCCGATCCATGTTTGCGCGCCCCCGCTTCTTGTGATACAGTGGAGACCCATGCCAAGAAGCACCCTGTTCGCCACCAGGATGCCCTGGGCTCCTTCTTGGGTTCTCAGGGTTCTGCTCTGGAAAGCGTGATGACGTTCCTACGCCAAAAATGAGTCTGGAAGTCCAGGGGTCTCAGGGGTAGGTTTAAATCGGGCCTGCCCCTCTACAGGAGGAATATTCATTCTTGAGTACTTTTTAATCTTATTGGGGCATGTTAGGAGAATGTGTGGGGTATTTTTCATTTTTCGTCCAAGATCCTCCTGTAGGGGGGCAGGCCCGACCTAAGGTTGGGTTTCTCGTGGAAGGTTTCTCTTGTGGTCGGGCTCCTGCTGTACAGCTGGGGCCTTGAAGAAGGAACCCTTTTCGTTGGGGAGGGGCTCGGTGTTCCTTGATTGCTTCACAGCTTGCCTCAGGTTTTCCTTAGGTTTTCGATGGGAAATCGAAGTTTAACTTGTGGATCCTAGGGGCCTCGTTCCTTATTTTGGGTTCCTTAGGTCAACGCCCCGACTGCACACCTTCGGGGGCCCCGGGCGGCTTCCCGGGGGGCATCCGGGAGGCCCTCCCCGGCGCGTCCATGGTGGCCTCTCTGGGCCTCTCGGGGGCCTCTCGGGGGCTTCTGGGGGGCACCCGTAAGTCGGGCCTGTCCCTCTACAGGAGGGATCTCCACAAATAGCGAACAAAAATGTCGAAAACGATGTTTTGACCATCTCCAAGCATTGTGGGTGTATCTTTAGACGCATTCGAATGTTTCGCCGATGATCCCCCTGTATGGGGGACAGGCTCGACCTCAGGGTACCCTGTCCCCAGGGCCGGCGTTGCCTCCTGCGTTGCTGTTGCCGGTCCCGGGTCCTGGCGGAGACCTCCAGAGGCTGAAAACAGTGGGCATGCTCGTCTTGTTTTTGTTCCATGCTCGGTATCGTTTCACCGATGCCCATCCCCATCCTCATATCCTTCGAGACCCCCACCGAATTACCACCCCAGTTGGGGATGTACCCCGCGATACCCGAAGGGAACGACCTATATCCCCATCCGGGGGGGGTAAATCGGCCAGTGGGTCCGGCTCCCCCTCCCTCTCTTCACTCGCCCTCTGCCAGCCTGTGGACACCACGTCCAAGAAGCACGACGTGGAGGCATTCTCCGCCCTGGAGGGCGTAGGCAAGGACACGTGGCTGCCCGGGAGGCGGTTTCGCGGCGGAGGGCGGTCGACGATGTGGACGACAGCGACCACGGCGACGACGACGATGACACGGGAGGTGCTTTCGCGGTAGGGCTGTGCCATCTCGGGGCTGCCATCGGCGGACGGTGGTTGGCTCCAGGAAGAGGTGGAGGACGAGAAGGGGGAGGTGGAATTGGAGGAGGTGCAGGAGGAGGTGGAGGTGCTGGTACCGGGTGGGGGAGGTAGGGGAGGAGGAGGAGGAACGGAGCGGAATGCCCGAAGGGAGAGCGCACTGCGTTAAAACCTGTGTGCTTAGGCATGGTTGCTTGCATCTGGCGGCTTCTTTCATTCGAGCTCCCTCCACGAGAGCGGCCATGCGCTGCTCGGGAGAGGGGGCTGCCCGTGACGCCGAAGACGTGCTACGGACCACCGCCGGGCCTGGGATCACCGAAGACTCCGAGGGGACAGCTCCGACCGATGGGGGCAAGCGGACTGCAGTCAACCCGCATGTTAAGGATGGGCAGCATCCCCAGGGGCCCAGGGGTACCCTTGCATCCTTGCCTCCTCGGCCCATCCTCGGCCACTTTCGTTGGCCGCGCACCCTGCGGAGACGGGCCGACTGTATTGAGCGAGATGGAGCGATTTGTGTGTGTTTATTAGTGTTATGTCTGGCGTGCCCCCCTACAGGGGGATTTTCGACGACAAATTAGAAGTACCCCAAAAATACGCCAAAACGGTCAACCAGTTATCAAACAATAGTCCCCAGACTATGTTTGGACTATTTTGTGAGTATTTTTTTTTTGTTTTTTTTTTTGTTTTTTTTTTAACCTTTCGTCGAAAATCCTCCTGCAAGGGGGACAGGCCCGACTCGACATTGGTGTGTCCCTGGGCCCCTCTCTTGTGCCCGACGGGCTCCTGTTCCTTTCCTCCTTCTCCCTCTCTCGCGCTTCTGCTTCAACGCTGGCCAGGCGCTCTCTAATGCACGCTGCGTGGAGCTCGTGAGTCCTTGTCGCTTGGTACCCGGAAAAACAACTCTTGCACCCGACGGGCGCGTTGCCTCCCCTGGCAGCGCGGGCCAGTCCTTCCACGACCTCTCTCTGCGCGCGGGGCGCCTCTCCGCGCCACGGCTGGGCGCCCGCCCCCTCGAGGCCCCCCGGCGGGGACGGATCTCGCCCGCGGGCCCCGACTCCTGGGCGCCCGACGTGGGCACGGAGAGAATGGGCTCGATGCTCGTTTTGGGGACCTTTCTGGGGCCTACCTGACAGATCTGTTCGACTCAGGTTCGACTCAGGTTCGGCTCAGGTTCGACTCGGATTCGACTCAGGTTCGACTCGTTTTGACTCAGATTCGACTCAGGTTCGACGCAGTTTCGACGCACGAGTGAAGCGAGTGGCTCCAGGAAGGTCCCCAGAATGAGCATGCAAAATGGGTACAATGCCCAACAGCAGTTCCTTTTCATTTTGAACAGGGCTCGCTGTCGGTGTCGCCGCGGCCTGTGTCCCTTTGAGACAGGGGGCCACCTGCCCAACAGCGGCCGCGGTTGGTTTGGGACAACATCTGCTGTTGGGCATTGCACCCATTCTTTCCGTGCCCATTTCGGGTGTCCAAATCATTGGAGACTATTTTCGTTAATCCGCCCAAGGGATACCGTCCGAGGCGGGGAGTTATCCAGCACCACCGCCTGGAGGGTCGATCTTTGCGGACCTCCACGGGCGGTGGGTGTGGATATACTCTGGCCTCTGGGTGCCCTATCCCCATCCACCGCCCGCTGGGGCCCCAGGACGTCGGCTCCCAGGCGGTGGACATGGAGAAATCCCCGCCACGTGTAACGCATGTTCCCCCCCCCTCCCCCCCCCCCTAGCGGTAACGCCCCGGCCCCGATCCAGCGCGCGACCCCGGGCAGCCTCCAGGGTTTGAGCACGCGGGCGTGCACTATATGGGGCACGCAGCAGGCAGCGCGGTGTGCACGGGCGTCTCTGGCGCGCGCAGCTGTCGTTGCAGCAGCAGCCGTGGTGTACGCAGGCATGAATCAAGGGAGGAATAACCGCCCGGACCGGACAATTGGCGTCTACTCAGCGGTCGCGGGCGTTTATTCAACAGCCCTGCCCTTTTTGATTCTTTCTTCGGGTGCGTTTACTAAACGGCTTCGCGTGTCGGGGTGGTTATTATCGGGGTGGATGTTCTGCCCTCTGATAAGGGGTGTACTCAACCACTGCGGTGTACACATCACAAGCCCTGAGGTGTACGCAGGCGCCGTGGTGTGCACGATCGCTTCAGTGCGCAAGGTCGCTGCGATGTGAGCGTGCGCTGTGGGCTACAATGAGCCCACGCACATCTTCGCACTTCTTCTTCTTCCTCCTCCCTCGTCACTTCCGTGCACGCAGGCGTTGTGTGTTCACATTCGCTGTGAGCTCAAAATGTCCTAGCGTTCCCCGGGCCAGAAAAAACTGAGAACCACAACCAAATCATTAAAATGGATCTGATACATTCGGGCCCCCAGCAATTGCCCGGACTTTGGTATACGCAAACATTGTTGTGGTATACGCAGGCAGTGTGGGGCACGCGCGGAGGTGCTGAAACAGCAGCTGTGGTGTCAGCAATCACAGGCGTTGCGGTGCAGACGGCTGCTGTGGTGTACATCGGCATTTGTTGCGTGTATAAAGGTGTTCTCCTGAAAACAAGTACTGCTGCCATCGTGGCTCCCAGAGTGGGGGCTGGCGGGAATTCCCTGCTGTTTTTTTTCTGGTGCGCGTTCTGCTGCGCCTCCCTCTGCTCTTCCTGCGCCTCCTCGGCCGATGCTCGTGCTCCTCCTGTTGCTGCCATCGTGGCTCCCAGAGTGGGGGCTGGCGGGAATTTCCTGCTGTTTTTTCTGGTGCGCGTTCTGCTGCGCCTCCTTCTGCTCTTCCTGCGCCTCCTCGGCTGATGCTCGTGCTCCGCCTGTTGCTTCTTCTGCTGCGCCTCCTTCGGCGGCGGGCCCGGGGGGAAGTGAGAGGGGCCGGAGAAACAGTCCCAGCGGTCCTGGGGCCAGAAAACACAAGTAATCACAATCAACTCGGACATTGAATTTGAGACGTTCGGGCCCCCGACGATTTTCCGGAGCTTGGCCCCGTCGGTATTGCCTTCGGGCGTACACGAACTTTGCGGCGTGCGCAGGCGCTGTGGTGCACGGGGGGTGCCGAAACAGCGGCTGTGGTGCACGCGGGCGCCGTGGTGTGCACAGATCGCGCGATCTATAAAGGCGTCGTGATGCACGCGGTTGTTATGATGTACGCAGTCGCCGTGGTGCACACACATGCGATTTCTGTAGCAGCCCTGGTGCACAAAGGCATTGTACAGAGCCCATGCTGTGTGCACAGGCGCTGTGGGCTTGGGTGGCGACGACGACGACGACGACGACGACGACGACGACGACGACGACGACGACGACGACGACGACGACGACGACGGCGCGCCTTAGGGGTTGCGCGCCGCGGCCCTACTTACTGTTACCTCCCCCCACGCGGAAGGGCGTGCCCCCCGCACGCGCACGCCGACCCCCTGGCCAGGCCAAACAGCAGGAGGTCCCGGCTCGATCTCCCGTCGATGCGCTGCGAGGTCGATGCTGGCGGTCCCGGCCCGACTCGAGTTCGGTTTGCCGGCGATTCGAAGCTCGGGGGTTGCTGACCCCGACCTTCCAGAGCGCTTAAAGATAGCCCGCCAGACCTACAGACTCATCAGGACGCCTCAAAGCCTCGACTGGATTTGAGATGTCGAGGTTCTGGTGCTGGTGCTATTTTTCAGCCCTCGAGGACGGAGGAGGAGGAGGAGGAGGAGGAGGAGGAGGAGGAGGAGGAGGAGGAGGAGGAGGAGGAGGGAGGAGGGAGGAGGGAGGAGGGAGGAGGAGGAGGGAGGAGGAGGGAGGAGGAGGAGGAGGAGGGAGGAGGAGGAGGAATTGGGAAAGGTGCCCCTGGCCCAAGGTGCCCACCACCTTTTCGCTCCGTCCTGGAGCCCCCCGGGCCTCTGGGCCTCGTGAGGGGAGCTCTGGCGGCCGCGGGGGCCTCCTTGGAGATTCAGGAGGGGAAAACACACACAGACACAATTAATCGTCGATCCCCAGGAAAATATGGGAAAATATGGGAAGTGGTGGGGAAGACAAAAACCCAGAAAATATAGGAAAATATGGGGACCCTTTTTATTTGTGTGTATTTATTTGTGTGTCCCAGTTTCCCTTCAGAGATCCCCGGGGCACCTTGTGGCCGGGGGAATTTCTCGGCACGCCCGAGGGGTGGCCCGATGCTCGTGGGGCGGGTAGCAGCGTGGGGGGATCTAGGACTGCAGGCGAGGTTCGGAGGAGGAAGCGGTACCGATACGGCTACCCTCCCTCCGTTTTCCCTTCTCGGGGCCTCCTGGGAGGCCCTCGTCCCCACCGCTGGATTCGCTTCGAAGTTCTGGTCAGGTCCGGGGAGTTGGCAGCATCGGCACCTCTTGGACAAGGCTAGGATCGGGATAAATCGCTCCAGAGCGTTCCGGAGCGCTCTCAGAGCGTTCCGCAACGCTCTGGAGCGGCCGCGGCGCCCAATACATCCTCCAAACCCGCCGATTCTCAGAAATTTCGAGTTATCCCGATCCGACTTTGTCCCGATCTTCGCGTCGTTGTCCCCCATAAACCGCGGGGGGGGACTTGGGGCTGCAGGCGAGGTGCCGTGAAGGGGGGGTGCGGATGGCCCCATAGGCTGCCACGGCGGGCCCAAATCTGCACCTCGCGCTTTTAGGGTACACCTCAGGCGATGCTTAAGAAAACTTAATTTTTCGGCCAGAGTCTAGATTATTCTTAATGTTTCAATGTAAATCCTAAGATTTGAATGGAAATTCTGGGTTTTTTTATTCAAGTTCTGAGACTATGAATTTCTTAACCAATGATTTCTTAAGCATTTCGCAGGGTGTACCCCGTGAGATGGGCCACGCGCAGAGGGGGGCAGGGAGGGGAGGCTTCTTTCGGAGGCCTGGAAATTGGCACCAGCACCAAGACAGGGGGTTGCCTCCACAGGGGGAAGGCAAGCCTAGACTTTCGGTGTTGGTGGTAACAGTTCGGCCACCTCGGAAGCCAGAATATTGCCACCATCGCCGAGATCGGGATCTTCTTCCTTCGGTGGAGGCGCACCGCCGAGATTGGTGTTGGTGTCAATCTCTAGGCCTGCGATTCTTAGAAGCACCCCTGCTTCTCAGAAGGCGCGGGTCTTCTCGATGGATGTAAGGCCAGCGCCTTCCAAGAAACAGCCTCCTTCTAAGAAGCTTTTCCCCCCTTCCCCTACCTCCTCTTGCGCGCCGCCAAGTGATCGAGCACCCGAGTTTGCATGGTGTGGCTGTGCATCTTAGCTCGGCCGATCCGATCCGATTCTGACTCCGTGCCGATTGCAGCCCGATCCGATGCACATTCTGGTGCGATCCAATGCTCCTGTTTGATGCCAACCGATCTTGCCTTCGGCCCAGGAGGATTGTTACAGGCACCCGTGTGTTACGTTGCACTTCTTGGGAGGTTGAATTCTGAATCGGCGGTGGTATATCCTTGATCGACAACTGGCCTAATCCTGCGCAATCCCCGGTACTCTCCTAGGATCCCGCTCAATCAGGCCCAATCCTGGGCTTCATCCAGCCTATTCCAGCTGAGTGGTCACTTCGTGAATCGGGTCTGACAGCCCTTGATGCTGTAGAAGACCTCCCCGGAGTTGCCTCCTGACCCTAACGTGAGTCGTGACGTTGCGCCGTTGCCCTCATGCTTCTGGTGAACCAGCATAAACATACATATACACATGTTATAGCACAAGGAGTTGCCTCCTGGCGTGCACACCGATCGTGGGCTCAAGATCGGCCCGGCCAGGGCCGGGCGCGGCGGCAGGTGGGCGGCCCTCGAGCGAGAAGGGGGGATGCCCTGCCGGCTCTCGCGGCAGGCGTGCGGGCGCGCGCGCGCGCGCTCAGGGTGGCGGACGTCAAGGCCTTCGGCGTCTTCGTGGACGTCAGCGCACCCGACGGAGGAGGGCCGGGGGGCGGGGAAGCGAACGCTGCCGCGTGGAGGAGGCGGAGGAGGAGGAGGAGATCCGGAGCTTAGTGGGCCCTGGAAACGACAGAGGCGTTTTTTTTTTACTGAATCCGTTTTGCCGTTGTTTTGCCGGTTCCAACGCCGTTTTTTGACCGGTTCCTTCCGTCGCTGTTTTTAGACCGGTTCCGGCTCCGGTTCCAATCCTGGAGCCGTTGTTTTGCCGTTTCCGGTCGCCGTTTTTTTGCCGTTTCCATTTTCAAGGGACATTTTTTTGGAAACGGTAAAAACCGCCCTGCCGTTTCCGGGGCCCACAAAGATCCGGAGAAGGAGGAGAAGGGGCAGGAGGAGGAGGGGGAGGAGGAGGACAGCGGTGCTCTAGTTTTGTGGAGGACGATCAGTGGAGAGGAGGCATGTTGCCAAATACTTTCCAGATTTCTACAGCATGTTTTAAACACGTTTTAAACATGCAAAAACTTGTTTTACATATTTTCAGAACATGTTTTACACAATCACATGTTTAATTCAATGGTAGGACTGTAGGGCGTCCATTGTCGTGGCATCCACAAACGCTAGTTCCACGGAAACTGTCGGAGGACTGGTGCGGGGGTCTGAGGAGGATATGGAGAGCGGGGGGGGGCCGTGGCGGGTACTAATTCTTCCTCGTTGGCGGCCAGTCAGGTTGGGAATGAGGTTCTATGAGTAAGGATCAGTGATGTATCCCTGGGTGATAGTAGGACGAGGAGGAGAAGAATAGTACGACGAGGAGGATAGGAGGACAAGCTGGAGGAGGAGGGGCTCGGCTTGGGCAGGATGAGGATATGAGTTGAGGGGCGGGGGCGCGGGAGGAGGGGGAGGAGGGGGGCAGGAGGAGGAGGAGGAGGAGGAGGAGGAGGCCGGGAAGGAGGAGAGGGATGGTGGGAGGGAGGGAGGGGGTGTCCTGGGGAGTAGCCGCCAGCAGCGTAGCGGGAGGGGGGTCGTGGTAGTGGGGTTGGGCGCGGGAGGTGCGGGACGGGTCTTGCGCAAGTGCGGTGGTGTTCTGATGGTGGCCGCGCAGTCAGGATCGTTAATCTGCTGTGTGTGAGAGTCGTTAAGATGACGAGCGAACAACATACACGCACACCCATACCCATAGGGGGACGGAGGGGGCTATGGGTGCGTGTTGTCGGATGGGGGTCCCCGCTCGAACGGGAGCATCCCCCAGGGTCCGACAACCCGCACCCATACCCGTAGCCAGTCCTCCTCCCTCCGACCCCCTATGGGTATGGGTGCGTGTTTTTCGTTCGTCGCAAGAGGCTTGGGCGTGAGAACCAGCAAGGGCGGTCGCGTGCACGAAGCATCAAGGAAATTGCGGGACTCGCGCGCAGCAGCCCGCGCGGGGCGTTTTTTGTCGGCGCTTGCTGCCCCTGACACCCCTGACCCCCGCTTCAGGACGCTTTGCGTTCACCGCCCGCCCACTCCACTTCTCGCCGAATGAGCCGAAGACGGCTCCACGATGGCATGAACATAGTCAGAGAATCATTCACGACCCCCCGCAGGTGTGTTTTGATTGTCTTTGCCTGCGCTCCAGTGTTGTTCCCAACCAATAGCCTGGTAGGGTCAGGCATGCCGCGTGGCTGATCGATAGTAGATTTGCCGTCTGGTCGTCGTCCCGTCACCACTACCGGCGGATCAGTGATATGGACCTTGGCTCTCTGGGCCCTTGTTGACGATCCACACCAGAAGGCCAGAAGTAGCCCGAACATTGCCCTGCATCAGCCCACAACGGCCCCGAACGCTGTTTAAAAGGAGCCAAGCAGGGACCCATGTGGCTCAGGCGGGCGTTGAACGGCCGAAGCGACAGCACGTCCGTGTTGGGCCGTAACTCCCTCGCAGTGCCATGGAATATCGAGCTCGTTCGTGGCCGGTTTGGGTGTTGTTCGGGGGCCCACGTGAAGCCCAGGAGCGCCCAACACTCATTCTGGATCGAGTCCACAACAGCGAAGGGGTGGGAGCCGGTGGATGTAGGTACAGCACGAGGTGTATGTCCCAGGCAGGGGGTCGTGGTTCGGACGATGCATGCAGGCGTCCGAGTCGCTGCTTGTCCTGGGCGTCAGGCTCTGCTCGTGCGTGAGCTCAGGCATGGCGTGCGGCGTCCTGTTGATGCATGCCAGTGCACTCGACACATTGCTCGAGAGCTCGCGGCCTTCGTGCCTGGGCTGTGGGTTCCGAGGCCTCTTGGGTGCTGCTCGGGGTTGCGCAGACTGCCTCGCGAAGGCATGTGGTCACTGTGTGGTGTTCGCGTTGGTGCAGCCGGTAAGGCTCCGATAGTGCCGAAGTGGTATCGCGAGCGTCTTGTGGGCCCCTGCGGGCGTGGATCCCTGGTGCGAGGGAGGCGTGTCAGATGCTTCATGGCTGAATCAGAGGTTGATAGACCTCCTACCCTGACACGTCGATTGAGGAATTCGCCGTTTTCGGTTTGCGAGAGGGCGTCGCAGCCCTCATTTTTGTGGGTCCATGTCCGTCGGTTTCGGTCCCAGGCCGTTTTCACTAAAGGGTGGTTTACTAAAGGGAGGTTTGTCCACCGCCAGCTGAAGTAGAATCCCAGTGGTACCGCTGGAGGCGTATTGATCGAAGGGAGTGGGGTTGGAAGAGGAGGAGGAGGAGCAGGAGGATGAGGAGGATGAGGGGGCCGTGGGTGAGGAGGAAAGAGAGACATGTAATAGGGGTGACGCAGGAGCGACGACGGCGACGACAACGATGACGGCGACGGCGACGACGACGACGATGACGACGACGATGGCGTGGACGACGACACACGTAGACCATCCGTGAACCATTGCAGTCTGTGTCCGCGAACCTCTTCCGTTTTGGGGCCTAAGTGGGGCCCCGAATGTTCCAAAACGGACCCCGAAGGGCGCCCAAGAACGGCGTCCGAATTTGAAATATGGCGAATGCAGCAGACGATCCCGAGAGGCAGTTGCAAGACGCGTCCGGGTCACCCCCGAGGAAGCGGAAATTTGGAAAAGCCATTTGCCTTATTTTTGTTGCATTATTTTCTGCATGTTTGCTTTATTTTTGCTTTACTTTATCGGTCACCCCCGTATTTGCTTTATTTCTCGGCATGCCAGCTTGTCGGCGACAGCGGGCCACGAAGGTGCTCTCGAGGGCCCTGGGGAGCGGACTTTGGAGGCCGGGAGGGGGGCCCGGCGGGGCCGACGTGGAGCCACGGTGCGCCCCGGAGCCGTCTTCAAGCCGATCTGAACATGGAGCTCGTCTTGGAAGGCGATTTGGTTGGAGGCGTCTTGCCAAGACGCCTCCAACCAGGGTTTGGGCGCAGCACCGCGGCGGGAGAGCGGAGGCCTCCGGGGGGGGGATCGAGGGGGGGACTTGTAAAGCATTGTAAGGAGCTCTCGTAGTCAATTCCACACACCCCTCAGCGCGGTGGGCGGGCGGACTCAAGAGGCTTGCGCGACTCCGCCGGCTCCCAGACGAAATGAGGAGACCATGGGATTTGCTGGGACGAGTCATAGTACACAGTCTTGTCTCGAGCGGTTGATGCAAGTACGTTGCTGTACTGAGGCTGGTGGCACGGTCAGGATTGTTCAATGATTTTACATGATCATCCTCCCGTCCCCTTCCCCCTCCCAATCCTCCTTCCCCCTACCGCCCATACTCCTGCCTCCCTGCTCCTCCCGCCCTTCTCTCCCTCCTCCCTGCCCCCTCCCGTACCTTCTCCAGCGTCTTCCTCCCTCCTGCCTCCTCTCCCCTCCCTCCTCTCCCCGACGACGACGATTTCGCTGTTTGGCCGAGCGTGCTGTGATCCTGACCAGGCCCTTTTCGGAATGTACAGTAGCACGATCCCGCCCCCCGCGGGCCTTTTCAAGCCAGGACTTCACCGTTCATCGTTCCCACGACGACGACGACGACGACGACGACGACGACGACGACGACGACGACGACGACGACGACGACGACGACGACGACGGCGACGGCGACGGCGACGGCCACGGCGACGGCGACGGCGACGGCGACGGCGACGACGACGACGACGACGGCGACGGCGACGGCGACGGCGGCGGCGGCGGCGGCGGCGGCGGCGGCCGCAGGCGCCTCGGCGCGGGGCCTGGTGCACCGGAGCCAGCTCCCCCGCGGCGCCGCGGCCGTGGAGCTGGCCGCGGAGGACGAGGCTTGCGCGCCCGAGCGGCCTCCCTCGCCGGGCCTGGGCTGAGGCATGCACGAAGGGGCGAGGACCTGGCATCGCTCGGACGTGTGCATTTTTCCTTCTGCGAGGACCATCGAGGAGCATCCTTGATCATTTGGCGAGAAAAACCACGCACGAAACCGAAAAAACACAGGGTATGGACATCCGAGCGATGGCGAGAGGATCGAAGGGGCTGAGATTCAGAGGAGGGCAATGTACCGTCACCATTCGGCTTCCCTCGTTTTCCCCTCGTCGCGACTCCTGAGGGTCCCTCGTCGCCGCCGCTGGATTCGCCTCGAGATTTTGGTCAGAGCGCATCCTGGGACAGGTCCGAAGAGTAGCGGTATCGGTAATTACCTTTTGCAGATTCTGACTCCCTCAGAGTGCACTCCCAGACCCCCCTCGGGTCATGAGAACCAGTTTGAGGCGTGAGGATTTTCGCTTCTGCCTCTGGCACGCCATGAACATATCATGACGTCGGGGTTTTGGGCTTGAGGTGTTCACGAAATGGCCTCGCATTCGAGGATCGAAGGAGTTGATCTTTCTTCCTCGGCGGAAGGCCAGCGGAAGGCGTTGGAAGGACAACGAGATTGCCTCCGCCAGCGGAAGCTCGGCGGAAGCCGGCGGAAGTAAGCGTCGGCCTCCCAAGAGATGGCACGGGTTTTTAGTTCAGGGTTTTTCTGACCCGGCATTTCGATTCGATCGATTCGATTCGCTGCCAGTTCCGGCTGGCCCGATCCGATTCGATTTCGTTCTCCCGCCGAGCCGATGCGGCTGGACCCCTGCGTGGCGCTATTTTGCATCTTGGTGCAGCCGATCCGACTCGATTTCGGCTCTGGGCCCATGCGGCCTGATTCGACGCACACTCGATCCGAGGTTCCGATTCGATGCTGACAGATCCTGCCCTCGTCCCCGAGGTTCGCCGGGGGGGCGCACGTGCAGCGGAGGCTCCAGGAGGTTTCTGGTAGGTGTTCCGAGGTTTCCGGGCGGTTTCCCAGCCGCGCCTCGTGGAGAGCGTCCGGGGGATGCTGGGAGAGTTCCCTGGACGGCCGCCTCGGGCCCGAGTTTTGGCCTTATAGAGACAGTAAGGGGTCGGTGGTTCCGAGGTCAGCCACTTCCTGGTGGTCCCCTCTTGCCAGCCTGGCCCGGGTTTGAGAGACCTGTCGGGCTCTCCAGAAAATTTGGGGGCGAAGGACGGTATGACATGATTTCTCCGCCGTCGGAGACGCTTGCCCCCCAGTGCCACGTAGGGGTAGAAACTTTGTAGCCGCCGGGGCCGACTCGGGGCTCTTTGGGTCGTCTTGGGGTCCTCCTGGGCCGTCTTGGAGCCTTCTTCGGGCCCTCTTGCGCCGTCGCGGGGTTTCCTCGAGGACTATTTGGGCCGTCCTGGACTCCCGGAAGCAAGGAAAGACGAGCGTGCAAAAAAAGATCAAATACCAGAGGGAATGCTAGGGTTTTGCCTTTGAGGGCCCCTTCGGCCTCCTCTTCAGGCACCTCTTGAGCATTCTTGGGGGCCTTTTGAACCGTCTTGAGCCCATCTGGGACTATCTTCGGGGGTCGTTAGGCCGTATCGAGGTTCTCGCGAACAACCCTTGGGCTGTCTTAGTTGTCTTGGGGCGGCTGTTAGCTGTCTTGAAGCCGTCTGGAGGCCGACAAGAGCGCTGGAAAGCAAACTCGGGGGGACGATTTTCAAGGCACGCTCGCTGCGAGGGGGGAGGGGGGTCCTAGATTATCTGTATTAAAACCGTCCAGACAACAAACGACCATTCCAGTACGCCCACTCCGTGCAGGCATGCTTGCGGTTGTATCTCTCTCTATATATAGATACATACGCACACATAATACTGTATCTATATGTTTATGTATACTAAGAGCCCCTCCTGTGATCTACCTTCCTCGTTGTTGTTGTTCCATAGTTCTGCTTTCCTGCCTCATCTCAGCTGTACTACTTCTCTTTCGGGCTGCCTGTTTATTACTGCGAAGGCCTTACGGCCGGTGCCGCCGACCCTGAGAACGACGAAGATGAAAACGAGGGGGGGGGGCAGGGGGAGGAGGATGAGTGGGAGGTGGAGGAAGGGTGGAGGAGGTGGATGAGGGAGGAGGGGGGAAGGATGTGGAGGAGAAGCAAGAGGAGGAGAAGGAGGCAGAGGAGAGCAGGAGGAGGGGGAGCAGAGGGGGGAGGAGGAGGAGGAGGAGGAGGAGGAGGAGGATGAGGAGGAGGAGGAGGAGGAGGAGGAGGAGAAGGAGGAGGAGGCCAGAGGCTTTCTTGGGACAGCCTGGGGCTCTCTTGAGGCCGTCTTGGGCCGTCCAGGGCTTCTCTTGCGCCGTCTCGAGGCTCTCGTGGGAAAGCTCTCGTGGGAAAGCTCTCGTGGGAAAGCTCTTGGAGGCCTCTTGGGGCGCTTTGAAGGCCTCTTGGGCCGTCTGGAGGCCGTCAAGGCGTCTTGGACAGATCGTTTGGCGATGCGGGGTTCTCTTGGACTGTCTTTGGAGCCTCTTGGGGCACTCTTGGCCCGGGCTTTTTTGGGCTCCGGGACTCCCAGGGGGGGCGTCTGACCCCCCCCTCGGGACCACCCCCCCCCGGCGGGGGAGGGATCGAAGGGAAGGGGGCTTCCTTCGACGACTCAATTACGACGTTGCTCGACTTTGCTTTGGCTGGCGCGCTGAGGAGGTCCCTGGGAAAGGGGGGAGCTTCGACGAGCCCAGGGAAAGGGGGAAGGCAGGGAAAGGGGACGACAGAGACGACGACCAACGAATGACGGAGATGACGACTTGAACGGACAAGCCCCTCACACACGCCGACAAGTTCGGCGAAGCTGCCTGCGGCAAGTCCTGCCACTGTGCTATTCTATCATGCTCGGCACTGGAGACGGTACTCGCGAGGGATGAACAACATGATGATGATGCTGATGCTGATGCTGATGCCGATGATGATGATGATGATGATGATGATGATGATGATGATGATGATGATGATGATGATGATGACGATGACGATGACAATGTAACGACGACGATGATGATGATGCTGATGATGATGATGCTGATGATGATGATGATCATCATTATGGTGATGATGATGATGATGATGATGATGATGATGATGATGATGATGATGATGATGATGATGATGATGATGATGATGATGATGATGATGATGCTGACTATGACGATGAAGATGACGAGGATGATCACGAAGATGATGCATATGGTGGTGATGATGATGATCGTTGGGGTATTGTGGGAGGCTTCTCGGGGTCCTCTTGGAGGCAATTTTGAGGCCTCTTGGGGGCCGCCTGGGGTATTCCTAGGGGCCTCGTGGGGGCCTCTTGGGGCTTGAGCGTTCTGGGGGGCGTCTCGGTGTTGAAGGCTTGATTTGTCGGTTCGTGTTCCCCCTTTGTCACCCTCCCGCTTCCGTAGCCCCTCTTGGCTCAAGCTGGCTCGCTCTTGCCATCATGCCAGCCTTGTCGAAGGAGGCGCTCGATAAGAAGCGCACCGCAAACAGGAACAGAACACGGGTCAGGGCGGTACAGATTTTCCTCAACAAGCCTTGGGTGAGGCAGTCTTTGAACTAAGCGGTCGATTGCGCGGCCTTCAAATGACATTCTTTTGTGGGGCAACACAATTTCTAAATCCACAAACACTGAACATACATGTGTCATTTGCTTCCAGGTGGTCTTTTTTGGTATTGTTTGGGCTTGCGAATAAAAGCCAATTTACAACTCAAAACACAGGTTTTTTGGGGTTCCCCAGATTGCCTTGTTTGTCTTTGTTGTTTTGTGTTGCGTTGTTTGTCTGTTTCGTCGGCCCGGCCCACCCCCTCCCCCCGAGCCAGGCGCAAAAAGATTCCAACTGAAGGCGGCACACTAGGAATCAATATGTAAGTGCCTCAATTCAGTGAACATGCAGGTGCCCGTTGCTTCCAGATTTTCTGCGCTTAGGTTAACATTTAAAAAACCAATGCGCAAGCCAAAACAACGTTTTATGTACCCCAGATGATCTTGTTTGTCGTTTTTGTTTTCATTCGTCGGTCAGCCCCCCCCCGAGCCATACGCAAAGTGATTCCATTTGAAGGCGGCACAATCGGAGTCAACGTGTGCGCCCGTGCACAAGGATATCGTTTTTTCTTCACAATTGGAACCAGTTCCATGGGGTCCATTGGATAACTGCACAATCGATTGCAGACAATTCGCAATTCGGTACGAAAGAATTTCAAGTGTATCCTACACTATAGGAATCAGTTTCAGAGTATGCGTGCAGGGATTTCCATTGTCTTCCACGCGCTAACAATCACCTTACAAAATCACCCCGACGAGATTTTGTTTGAAAGCCGCGCAATGGTGATCAATTTGCAACCCCGCACACCCGGATTCTGTCTGTATGCCGCATACTATTCATCCATTGGCCAAGTCCAATGGAGAATGTCCAACTGCGGGACGCGATGGGTTCTTCGGTGAGTGACTGTTTTCTGAGCGATGCAGCGGCGCCGCAGGCGCGCGACGAGCAACCGACACTGAGTTTGCTACGCAAGGGATCCTGGGTGCTGTTGAGGGCCCTTCTGAGAAAGGGGGCACAAAAATGTCGAAAGTTTCGAGGGTTCAAGGCAGCAGGCTCCTAGAATGATCATGGCGGCTCTCAGGGATTGCAAGATGCTCTTACGGCAGTCGGTGGGGTCACTACGTGAAGATGCGACGCAACAGTCCGTGAAATTATTACGTGAAGACGCGATGCAACGCCCAGAAATTCGCAACAAACCATGAATATGTCGCGTGTCCTCGCCCAGATACCAGAGCCCATGTGGCAATAATGCCACTGCGCAGCGCGCAGTCTGGCGTCGTAATTTTTGATGCCGGAACCGGTAGAGGAGCGGTTCCCACAGTGTTTGGGCATTTACACATTGTTTCCCATTGCGGGGCCACCACACATAATTCCGTAATAGGAATCAATGTGTAGAGAACCCCACAACATGGAATTACACACTGATTCCG